ATAGTTTATTAGAAACCTAATTATATTTTCCCTTTCCTAAGTAGTTTTAAGATATACGGAATAAGTTTATGAGAAGTGTTGATGTCAGAAATCATATAAATTGTTCAGGAACTTTACAATTTCCAATTCTATATAGTCAATCAGAAACTTTATTATATTTCCTTTCCTATATAATTTAATTATTTACAAAAATAGCTTTATAAGAGGGTTCATGGTGGCCATGTAAAAATCACCATAATGTCGATGTCAGATATCTGTTTTTGCTCTGTTTGCTCTTGTTGATTTAATCCCCGGACAATCGTCTAAATTATGCGATTTCATTTTCATTTCCCACTATTTACCAGACAACTTTCCGACTTTGTTTTGGACCCTTTGAGTGGATTTTCCAGAGTTCTCGAGAGAATGACCCCACCATCGTCTGGCATCTATGCAAATTGCGCTTCCTTTCGCTCTTATTTCGATAATTATGCACTGATCTAAAGGCAGGAGAGCCCCTTTTTTGTGTCCACCAACCGTTGCCTGTTGCTGGCAGTACATGTGGAAGGCAGGCGGTAGGAAAAGCCTCGGGAAAATCCAACCACCCGACACACACACACACAGAGGCAAGTTTCGCTCCATCAGCATGTTTCGGAGATGGTCTCCGTGCACTCATTGAATGTTATGAAGTCATTTGCATATTTGTTGTTTATGTTGAAAACAAGATTTCGTTATTAACTTTGCTTAATTTGTTTGCCAAACGCAAAATGGGAAAGTGGGGGAAAATGGGTAAAGAGGGAAAGCTAGAGAAAGCAGGGTGAATTGAAAAAAAACGAAAGCGAATAGAGCCATCGAACCGAGACTAAAGGAGCAAAAAAAAAGAAATCCTGTTGACCGAAGCGGTTTCTTTGCCTCAATGGATTTTGGTTTTTGTTTGTGCACAGTTCTAAAGCACTCAAAGAAAAATATTAATTAAATTCTTTAACTCAAAGATGTGAAACAATGTACTTATTTAATTTCTGATTAAGCGACATACATTTTCTTCTGTGTAGGTTGAGGGTCCTTATTAATTGCAATTTGAATTGTGCATCCCAACCGCAATCCTCTAATTCTTGTTTCAGGTCCCAAAACCCCTTTTTCTTTACCCGACCAAAATCCAAATCGTAATTCGGGAAAACTCCTTGAGAACAACGAGGCAACAAAGAGCCAAAAGAAAAAAGAAAAGGGAAAGCCATAAATAATGCCAAGTACTGTGTCTGCTCTCTTTCTCTCTCCGCATGTCCTTCTTGGCCTCCAGGACGGACATGAAATTTGTGTTCCATTTAATTGCTGGCGGAAAAGGGGATTGCCTGAATTGGATGGATGGATGAGGAAGAGGCGATGTGGTCTGGGTCACGATAAGATTCCTCCAAGATGGAATGAATTGCTTAAGTGGAAATTTTAGTTTGCATAAATTATGCGGCAAACGTGCAGGACTATGCCAGGATATACCCCAAAAAAGGAAACATCTTCCTTTTGGTTTCAATTTTTGGCTTAGGGTTGTACTTAAATACATTAATTTGTTGTTTGCTGTATTAGTTTTAATTTTAAAGGAAGGAAAAATAACCTATATCATTTAATTATATGAAAAATTGATTAAAACTAAGACAAAAAAGCCTTTAATTTTAATTTGGAATAGATTTTTATAATATATTTTATTGAGTTATCAATTCTAGAGACTCTGTTTATAAAACAGTTTTAAAAAATTGCATTATATATGAAATTTTGACAGTTTTGCAATTGGTTTTTAAATTTTTTACCCATTTATTATGACCTTGAGTGTATTATACTATATTTCTGAAGTTTGCACAGTAGTAAAAGAGTTATTTTCAAACCTAGAAAGCACATATATTCCCCATCAGCCTCTACAACTATGTAGATCTTCCTGAAGATCGTCCAAGTTCGATCTTGCCACTATTTCTACCTGTACAGGAAAAACAGCATCACCTCAATAAAAACCTGAACTCGCAGGATAACTCTTAAGGTTATCAGACAGGAAAAAAAGAAACTTTACCGACATTGCGGATGAAAGTAAAAACGAATACCCCACCACCATCACCATCACCAACCAAGCTCTGACAGTCCACTGTCAAAACTTTTTTGATTATCTTAATTGCGATTACGGGAAAAGACCTCAACCCCATCCACATCCACAGCTCCAAATAAAACCCCCAAGAAAAACCCACCCGATGCGTGCATAACCCCAAGAAAAAAAGCAGAAAACCCCAGACAGGACAGACAAATGGTTGGGCAAATACTAACAATATATATATATATATATAGATATGTATATATACAATCCGACGGGGAGTTGGCTGCCACAAAGGCCAAGTCAGACAGGGGGACCGGGGAGCTCTGTCTCCGCAGAGCTGAAATTAACAAGATTGACCCCTCTCTTCGCTGAACTGTAACTGTAACTGTGACTGTAAGTGTAAGTGTAAGTGTAGCCATGGCAGGCAATGAAAGAAATTGGGCTATCAGTAAGTGAGACAAGATGAGAAAAAGAGGGAAAACCCAAAGAAAAAAAGAAAGAAAACTTTTTGCCGGCGGCTCGAAAGTTGTGCGGGGTTTTTCTCTTCTGCCTTCTGAAAGGATAAACAAAGTTTGCTCTTCTTTTTGTCCACTGCAATTACAAGAACTGACCGCTAAAGTCAAAGTGGAAGTTGAAGTCGAAGGAGAAGTCGGAGGTCTCAGCTCCCAGAGGAGTGCCGCCACCGATAATCGCAATTCGAAAATAATAATAATAGTTTGGCCCTTTTCCCCCTCCTTATAGTCTCTATGATTATCTATGGGACAGGGAGAAGTCCCCAAAGACCACAGACTGAAATACAGCTCAGCGGATGGATGGGTTCTTACTTTAACAGAGAATATATCCCGTCAATATCACTAATTTTTCCCCAATGTCTTGTATAATCAAATTAATATTAAAGGCAAAGACAAACTAATCGATGGAATAAATCGAAAAGAAACTTAAATAAATACTTCTATACTCATAAACCTGTCGACCAAAATATCTCTTATTAATTTATAAATATTATTTACAAAACTATATATATTATTGAAAGAATAAATCGAGATATAAATAATAATATAAAAATTATTATTCGAATGTAAATACATTACTATACTTAAATCTGCAAAAATACTTCCTAATTATTATTATACCCATTCTATGAGCTTCTTTTTGTAAAAAGAAAAAGAAGTGTGCCAAATCGATTAGTTATCGATTGAAAAAGTCACATCAAACAAGTTATAATACATTTGTATGTACAAATTTAATAATATATTTTTATTTATACTTAAACAATAAATAAATAAACAATATTTAAGCAATTTAAGAGGCTTCTTTTTGTAGAAAACGCACGAGAAAGTGTGCCACAAAACACGCAAAACATTTATATTCATACTTAAACCTTCAATTAAAGGTTTCTAAATATTTAATCAACTATTAGGGACTTTTTAATTAATAAGAAAAGCCCAAAAAGTATACCAAATCGATAAGTTATCGATGGGAAAGCAATGTGGCGTTGTAAAATATGCAATGACCTCCTAATTGTACGCGATGCCACGACTCACTGAGCAAATCAACAACCAATTTTTCGACATGGCACAAAATCCGCACTGCAAACACACACCCAAAGGTGAGTGTGACTGTGTGTGTGTGCTTACGAAACCGTGAAAATGCTTTAGTCTCCCACCCCCAAGCCCCCCTGGAAAATGTTTGCTGCCTCAGCATCCACATCCGCGTTCGTGGCGAAAAACAAACAAAAACCTGAACCCGGTCCGAATTATTATTATGATTACCATTAGAGCTGCTGGTAAGGAGTGTGTGTGTGGTTAGTGAACACTCTGCACAATTTTCCTTTTTTTTTGTTTTTTGCAATGGAATCACATTTCCCGCTGCGATCCCTTGAATTTTCCCCCACTCCTTCTGACAGCTGGAAAAGCATTTCCATGTCAGGACATCGACAGTGCAGCAACACAAACATATATACACATATATGTATATATGAGGACAGAGATATGGCGTTGGCATAATCCATTCATGTGTGCGTAGGAAAAATGGATAATTTCAATCACTAGAAATGCACATTTTCCCCAAGTGATTCAAATAGGTGGAAAATGAAATGATTAAATCAAGGACTAAACAAAATCATCAATTAAATGTTAATTTAGAATGGGAAACCAGATAAACAATAAGCAGACTTAAAACAATCAATGTAAACAATAAAAAGCCTTGAGCTGGCTAAAAAACAATATGGGAAAAGTGCACTCCAATGCACTTTACTTTTGCTTTTTAGCTCTCATTTTACATGTTAACACTCTTAAATGTTTACATTATGCAATGTTTGCCACTCACAATCTGTACATTTTTCAATGAAATTGAAATGCAACTGTCCGGAGAGCGCAAAAAACAGAAAAGATATGAATTGCATTTTGATGGATTATGCGAATGGAGTGAATAAATGGATGGGTTTGATACAGCAATTAATAGCCATTTAAATGGCAAACTTGGATGGTCGAGAGAGGGGCAACCCGGTTATCCTGCAATTTGTTTGGCATTGACAGGATAAACCACTTTAGTTGGCTCCAAAGACACACGAGCAGGTGCCTCCCCTCCACATGCTTTATGCAAATAATGGTCGCGCAATGTGTCACTGAGCCACCGGCTGACAGGTTTTTGGATGAAGTGGCGGTGACAGGACGCGGATGCAAAGAGCTAGGATCAAACCGCACCATGCTACTCACACACACCTCACACCCAAGAGTGTGAACGTAAAATGTATAAAATATTGGCTGTCTACACGAATTCCAGGCAAGAAACCAAACCAAACCGAACTGAAGCGGGGAATTCAATTTATATGCAAATTATATGCGAGCTGAAGATGTATCAAAAAGGCAAAAAAAACCCAAACCCAAACCCAAAACCGAAACTTCAAACCGATACCGTAAGCAAATACCCCAAGCTGATGTTCAGAGCTATGTGAATTTTAATTATATTTATTAAAAATGTAATTATGTAAAAGGAGACACGATGCGAGGCGACAGGGAGAAAATGCAATAAATAAATATCCAACCATCCATCCATCCAAGCCAATTAGCTCAGGTGAAGTATCGCACATCACCCTCCTCATCATCATCAGCATCTCTCAACTTATAGGAATAGGTGGGTTTTTCATAGCATTTGGGGCAGGATTTTTCGGTGACCTCCTCGGATTCATATTCCTCCTCGTATGCCTCAGTGGTGACATATTCCTCCTCATCGTCATCATACTTATCTTGGTAACTATAACATGGCTTCACCGTGGTCTTTTTGGGCTTGCTCTTCTTGCCCTTCTTTTTGGCCAACTCCTTCTCTTTTTTGCCCTCGAAGAAGGCCAACTCCTTGTCCTTTTTGGCCTCGAAGAAGGCTAGGTCCTTTTCCTTCTTCTCTTCCCACCACTGCTTGAACTTCTCCCACTCATCCTCTTTTTTCTCCAGCTTGGCCTCCTCTTTGTCCGAGAACAAATTGAGGAAATCCAGCTTCTTGAGCAGCTCCTTCTGTTTTTTGGCCCCGAAAAGGTCCAATTTCGACTCCTTTTTATCCACAAGATCCTCCAGTTTGGGCAAATAGAGGCTGTGGACCATTTGCAGAGCTATGGGGCCAAGAGTTATGAGTTATGTCCTGTGTCCCCTGTGCTGTGCTGTTGTGGTAAAACTCACCAAAGCAGGCCAGTGCCAGCAGGATTAGCTGTTGTCCTCCGAAACTTGGCATTGTTTCGCTGTATTTAGTATTTGGGCGCTTCTGCTTGATTCTTGACTCCTCCGGTTTCTCTCGGTCTCTGCTCTAGCCCAGCTGGCCTTGGCTACTTATAACCCAAAAATCCAAATCCAAATCCAAGTCTGCAGAAACTGCAGCTGGGGGGAGCACGTGCTGCCCCTCGTCCCGGCGATAAGCACGTGCATTGGCCAAGCAATCTGTCAAGCTCGCGGCATATTTGGGCCTGCTGCTTGCGATACTGATTTTGGGATGGGTTCAATGCTCTGAGTGCACAGAGAGAAATTATTGGGCGGATGTAGTGGAAAATATAAAGCCAGAAAATATATACCGAGCCAGCTTAAATGTCATAATTTTCTGGCTACTAAATTGCATACTTTCTTAGTGAGTTTATGCTATATAAAAGTATAGGAAATAATTCATTCTATTTTGGTGTTATTTTCTGATCAAAACTTCTTGATATTTAAAAAAGTTATATACAAAATTGTACTATTATTATATATTGGTTTCTGCTAAAATTAAAGGGGAAACTTTTTTATGTGCCTTGTAAGCTTAACTCATTTTTTTGCAGACACAAAAATAATTTAAGGTACACTTTCTAAATGAAGATTATTTCATAAAAAATATACAATATTTCCTCATTAAATATTAGCAAATTTCTGCTCATAACTAATTTATATAAATAGTTTAAGGTACTTAATAATTATACAAATTTTAGATTATTCGGAAATCTTTTCTAGGCAACCTTTTCATCTTAAATATGTATTTTTTTCTGATAACAAACTACATATTAAAGAAATACTTTTTTAATGAATTCCTACTCTATAAAACAAAGAAAATATTTCCACCTATTATGTTTATATATTTCCTAATAAAATATTAGCTTAATAAATATATCAAACTTATCACTTAAGCAAATAAAGCAACTTTGATTGAATATATCAATTTTATGTAACTTCAAACTAAGATGTATAACCTACATTAAAGACCTAAATAAAGCCTTGATTTGTTGTTTTCAGTGTAGGCCTTTGGGGTCAGCTGTCACTTTGATTAGTCCGGCAGTTATTTTGGCAATGTTGGCCAAGATTTTAATGCTTTGGCTTGAGACTCCGACTCGACCTCGGACTCAGAGTCGGAGTTGGACTGCGGAAGCAGGCGTTGCTAATTGACTCGACCATTATCATGGGGTGACGGTGGACTCCGTATGGTGTAGCATAGTGTTGTGGAGGTGGTGTCGTTTGCCTGGCTGGTTTGGCCTGCTTTTTGCTGATGTGTTGAAAGTGGAACTTAAATTGTATTTGCTTAGTGCGCCTCCCCCACAAAAACAGGCAAAGCACACACACACACAGCAGAGAACCGAGCCACAGCACACTCACTCCTCGGTGTGTGTGCGGCTGGGTGTGTGTTTGTGTTGGGCAAACAGTTTGCCAAATTAATTGCACACCAACTGTTTATTTGCCTGTTTGTCCGCTTGTGTTTTATGAGTTTTTCGCCTGTTTCCCCTGTTTTCAGGTTCGGAGTTTCCATTTTGCTTACCCCATTTGCTTCCTCAAACTTTGCTCCCATTAATGAGTAGGGGGAGCATAGGGGAAGAGCAGGGTAGATTGTGGAAAGAATCTCCCCATCAGATTGGAATGTGTATTCCTGTATCTCTGTTGAATTGTCTGAGCTGTTGCCGCACGCAAAATAATTATCTCCCTCGGTTGAATAGAGATTTTTGTGCATGGAAATATGCTCTGGAGAATGAGGTAGAGCGAAATAATTGTTGAAATTATTTTACCTGCATTTCTTCTGTATGAAAAGAAATCTATAATAAATATTCTTAGCTGGGTAATGGTTATTTTATAATTACTTAAATATTAAAAAAGAGTTTAATGCTATAAAAACACTTATTAACCACCTTTCTTTTTCAACAACTTTGTTGAAAATTAAAGCAACCAATATACCCTACACTACTACCCTACAATAAAGTATTTTTACTATCAATTACCCCAGAACACTAATCTATTTTGCTGCTTTGTTCACAACTTGGGTGTCAACACGCTTTTAGATATGATAGTTACTAATTTTTATAGCAACGTCAAGTATTTTCACACTTAAAACAATTACAGAGTAAAGTCGTAGTAGTTTTTTTTTGCGAAATATTTCTGTATTTAATTATCATATATAATGCGAGCTTAACTAATGAGATGTGGAGCAGGGTATATGGCTCAGTCTACTTTTTGCTGAATACTTTCAGCTACTTGGGGATCCTGTTATTGGCAAAGTTTCCTAGCTCGAGGGGTAACCCCAACTGGGGTTCCAGAACATTATTTGGGTTAAGGACAAGTTCTTCGTAATCATCGCTAAAATCATCACCACCTGTGGACGTCGTCGTTGTCCTGGCTGTCGTAGTTGTGGTCGTAGTGCTTGCCACCGTTGGGGCAAAGGTGGTCCTACGGCGATATTTCCTTCCCCTGCGTCCCTTACGACCCTTGCGTATCCTACGCTGTGATCCACCAATCGTGTTCGATCGGCTATAAATATTCGGATAGGGTTCCATTGTGTAAACTGTGTATGCTAGTGGTGTAGTGCTCGATGTTGTTGTTGATTCTGTTGTAGTTGTTGTAATGGGTTGTGTTGTGGTCTCTGTTGTCGTTGAAGTCTGTGTTGGTAATGTGGTGATTATCGGTGTTGCTGTTGTGGAAGTTTGTGTGGGAACTGTTGTGATAACAGGAGTTGTTGTGGAAGTTTGTGTTGCAACTGTTGTGATTATAGGCGTTGTGGTTGAAGTTTGTGTAGCTGTGCTTGTGGACAATGAAGTTGTGGTTGTAGGTGTATCTGTACTTGTAGACGACGTGGTGGTTGAAGTCGGTGTAGTTGTACTTGTGGACAATGTGGTTGTTGATGTGGCAATTGTTGTGACTGCAGGTGTGGAGGTTGAAGTTGGTGCCAGTGTTGTGGTCGATTGTGTTGTTGTTGTAGAAGTCTGAGTAGCTACAGTAGTAGATTGTGGTGTTGTGCTTGATGTTTCGGAACTGCTTGAACTGTCAGAGGCAACTGTAGTGGTTTGTGGTGTTGTTGTTGACACTTGATCAGTGGTTGATGTGGATTGTGTTGTTGTAGTGGACGCTTGTGTGGTTGTTGTAGAAGTTTCTTGTGTTGTTGTTGAAGATGATGTGCTTGCTGTTGAAGTTTCCTGGCTAGTGCTAGTAGATGATTCAGTGGATGAACTAATTGTAGGCTGTGCAGTTGTAGTTTCTGTTGTTGTAACTTCGGTGGATGTGGATGAGGTTGCCGTTGTGGGTGTAGTTGATATCTCGATGGTGGTGCTGCTTGAGGAATCAGTGGTGTTGGTGGCTTCTGCCTCAGCAGCTGCTATAATCTCACTAATACTGATCATAATGGTCTCATTTGAGCGTGTTCCATTGGCCGATTGCTGTTGATTATTCGAACTGGTGATCGTGGCCAGAAAAGAGGAATCCTGACCCACTGTCGTACAGAGCTGACAGGCTGAAAAGAGCTTGGAATTAGCATCACATGGCACATGGCACAGGGCAGATGCAGTGGCAAAAGCAGAGCCACCACTAATTACCTAATGTTGTCACCACAACGAGGGCAATTAAATGTTTACGTGACAGCAGCATTGTCGACGTGCTGCCTTTATTTCCTTTCTTTGGCTTGACGTTTCCTTAATTAGCCCTGCGAATCGATGTCGTCTCTGGGCGTACTGCTCAATAAATTTGGCTAATTGAACTGATTTTCCAAGAGCTCAGATGGTCCAGTTTTATATTGATGTGGCACTGGCACCACGTCCGGAAACGTGTGGTCCGTACGTGCGATAGCCGATTAACTTATCGCGTTTCCCCGACGATTTCAATCTAGATGCGCCACCTGCTCTCGATCGTTGAGGGGTATTTCTCCATTCTCGACCCATTGAAGATGTCTCGATACCCCCATTCCCCCATACCGGAAGCAGCAAATGTACACTTGTTGGACTCTTTTGGATATGTACGAACATTGTATTTGCCGGATGCACTTCACTTTGTCACGTAATCTTGGCCAACTAAGTCAAAGATTAAACCAAAAAACATGGCTTAGTCTCTCACTTCGAATGCAGTTTAATCGATCATTAATGAATATATACGAGAGTATCAATGAAAATATATGACTGATTCTATTTCTTCAAGATCCACATATAAAGATTCCTTTTTAAAGGAAGTGTATTATAACTCATAACTAATATTTTAATACCGAACCCCATTAAATTTATTATATAAATGGTTTGGTTAACTTTTAACCCTTTTATACGTAGTTTTCAAGGGACAAAACAAACACAATTTAAAGTAATATGTTTGCTAAGAGGCACCTGTGACAAAACAGTAATTTCCACCCACAATGGCTTCCTTAATAACACAAAAAAAAAAAAATAGATAAAAAAATAAATGTGATTCAATAAAAAAAGTATTAATCGAACAGACATTATGGTATCGGATTAGCACTGATAACAAGCAACGAGTGCCATGAAAATTGTTTAATTGTTGGTGTTAAAAAAAGCACGCAGTATTTTAATTAAGTATTTACATGCCCTTTGCCCCCCAGCTCTACTCTCTTAGCCAGCGGAAAATTGTAATTATTTACCGAGAACGTGACGAGTGCGAAATGCGAATTATAATAAAAACAATTTGTGGAGACAAAAAAACATAAATAATACAACGAACATAAAAACAAACAGGACTTGATGGGTGGCTTTAAAGTTTATGAATAAATAAATCTGTAATCTTATGTAATCTTTGAGGCACTGAGAAAAATAAATACAAAAGGAATTATTATTAATTTATTTACTTGGAAAATTAATAAATACAGATTATTGCAGAGGTTTATAATCTGTATTATATCTTGTTTAGTTTATCTAGATTTCAGATTAATTGAGTGCATTGCACTTTATGGTGATTTTTTCCGGTGCATCTGCCAAGTTTGTGACGTACTATTTGCCGGTGATTACGTTACTCTGATTAGCCGTAAAGCACGCTCCGGATAGCAATTGCCGTACGTGTGCTTCGACATAATAGAACTTCTCCCGTTCGGGCCACTATAAAAACCAGAATCAATCGAGCTTTAACAAGGTAGTCGATACTTTTCAGTACAGCAAGCAACATGTTCAACAAATCAATTATTGTGGCTCTAATTTTGTGCGGTGTGTTTAGCCTGATAGAATTTGTTTCTTAAAAGGATTTTAATAATTTGTATATATTTTTTTTTGTTGCAGCCTGCTATATGGGCACCATTCAGGCAAATTTGCCTGTAGCTCCAGCCTTGATGACAGCAATGGGTGGGGTTGGTACAGTCGAACAGGCTACAGGAAATCTTCCAAATCTTCCAAATCTTCCAAATCTTCCAAATCTTGGAACCGGAAGTAATTCGCCGGTATCAAGTGTTGGTCAACTTACAAGTGGTATACTCCACACATAAGAGTATCTAAAGTCTTCTCTATGATCAAATTTTTACCATGAGTTTTTGTTTCAAATCAATTTTATATTATTTGAGTTTCTTTTGAAAATAAAGCAATGTTCTATGAGTATTACAACAAATGGTTTGCACATATATTTCAGAAAGAGAAGAAAATCCAGCAATCTTTAAGCGTTGACTTACATAAATTAGGGACTTTAGCCGAAACTAATCTCTGGGCTACGTGAGCAGTCGGATCCCTACAAACACGTAGGACCAAATTTGCGACTATTTATAGTGGGGCCCACAGCTCAGTTAGCCGCTTAAAGATGTCGGTCCAGAAGGTATTGTTCGTTGGTCTGCTTTGTTGTAAGTTATAAGGGAAACCTTAACCTTTTGTTCCTTGAACATATGTATATTTTTTAGCATATATATAACTATTTTTCAGTGCTGGTGACACTGGCTTGGAGCTTGCCTACTCAGACTCTAAATGTTACAGGGACAACGTCAAGGAAACGTGAAATTGTGAAAAGCTTTGTGGCCGAGGTAAATGCCTTGATAGCCAAATTAATCAGGCAGTTGCAGGAGCTTACGGCCATCAAATGATTTTAAATGTGCAAAAAGGAAAACTTAATTGAAATAAAGAAAAAGTAATTTACAAAGTTTAACAATTCAATTTTAAAGTTTTGTAAATGCAAAAGGATTCAACAGTTTCGAATTGGGAATTATAATACAGAAAAAAAGCCTTTGAAGTATAACTCCTGCTCTAGTGACAGATCGCCTTTGTAAGGACATTATCCTGATGACAGTTTTACTTACATCATCATCATAATCATATTCAACGGCTGGCGGCTGACTGTCCCGCACGAGTTGACTTTTGCCAAATGCCTAAAATTATGCCATACGCCAAGGCATAGAATATATATATATATATACATATATATATACATTGTACACAAGAAAATGTGTTAAGAAAATCTTAACGAAATTTCTCACGTTTGCCATAATTACGAGAAAAATACGTGACATGTGTCTTGACTGCAAAATTTACCCAAAGAACTGAACAAGGGATGAGGCAAGCAGTTATGTTGGGGTTATCGGGTTGGGTTTTTTGGGTGGGTTAATGCATATATATGCATATACATCTATATATATATGGAACAACGGGTGCCGAGTTGTAAATGGCAATAATACCAATAAAAATCTGTGTACACTCTTTGCCGAGTAACGATCTAATTCATAAAAATCTCTTAAACAAATGTTTTTGTGACATTAATAACGCTTGGCCTCTGAATAATTCAGTTATATATTGTGTGTATTTATGGTATCTGTATAAATATATATATATATTTTCCGACTTTTTCTTTTGGGTTTCTTAAAGTCACTTGTGGTCCAAGGGAGAGTCTTCGTTTTCCCTGAATGTGTTGCGTGATTGAATTGCGGCCTGATTGACAGTTGACAGTTGAAATTGATTTGGCTGTGCGCGCGGTGGTTGAAACAAGCCATCCGGCGAAGAGAAGATGTAGATGGATGTGATGTGATGGAGGACAAAAGGACGAAGGAGTCAACGGGAGACTGAGACAGCCACACACTTATTAATCCCCGAGTGCAGGCGTGCATAAGTATCGGGCAAATGGATTAGAAACTTTGATGTTGCACTGGAAAAAAAGAGGAAAAAAATCTAAAGCAAAGCTAAACTTTAACCAAAGGACTCAATGCCACCCTCGCACCCTGTTGCTATTTAATTAAGTTGAACGAGTGTGAGTGGTGAGTGCTGGCATATGGAGAAAGGTCCAGTCTGAATGAGGGTGACTCCTTCTCCCTTTCCATTGGTCCTTGAATATACATCACCCTTCTCCTGGAACTGAAAATGGAACTGCATTCCATCCATTGGCACATTTGTGTGACAGTTAATGAACTGCCGTCACTCTTTCGCCCTTTGTTTTTTCGCTAATCAAAAGATACAAGCGGCATGTGAGCGGCATACGCAATAAGGCGACAGAGTGGAGTCAATTAATTGATGGATGATGTGCTCAATGAAAAGCGTGGGGAGAGCAGAGAGTGGGAGAGAATCCTAGGAAAATTCTAGTTGGGGAAATTCCCCCCTTTAAGAACGAGACCCATAAAAAGTTGACAAGCTATACAAGAAAATGCTGCAAATATGCTTGGAAAATGAAGAACCTCTTATAAACTCTTTTGAAATTTAAAATTAATTTTTAATTTCTAATATTAGTAAATATATATACTCTTAACCATATAAAAATCAGAAAGGAAACTATATATTTTTACATTTTTAAAATCTCGTTGAAGCCTTTTCTGATCAGCATCGCTTTTGTCTATAAATTCCCTTCTAAAAAAACCTTTTTACTGCAAATAAATCATTTTTAACTACCTAACTCCTTTAAATACTGAAAAATCATATAAAAAGTGTGTTTTAAAAATAAAAAAAATCTACAATCAAGTGAAGTTTTCCACTCAATCACCTGATCACCTAATAAACTCTGCTTTCTAAAAGAAAACACAGACACACAAAAGACCTTTTCAATGAGGCTTTTGAATACATTTTGTACTTTCTCTCTCTCTCTCTATTTGGTAGCTATTTTGGCAGGACAATTGCCAAACGTCTGTTTGGACCGGCGGGTGCTCATCAAGGATCCAAGGGTACCCTAGGACTAGTGTATGTATTGATTGCTTTGACAAATCTGAGGCTTGTGTAATTTCATTACAAAACCTCCCGGAACCGGCAACGGCACGGGGATTACCACAAAAGCATTTTTCGACTCCTCCTCGTCGTCGTCGTAGTCCTTGTCGATATTCCCCAAAGTGAAGCAAGGACACCAAATAAAGATGAGGACTCGTAGAGGGGAAGGCAGGGAATGGAATTGGGAATGGTTGCTGTATTCCAGATGCCTTTTTAACCCCCTCCCCTGCCTCCCTGCCGAGTGTTGCATAGGAAAATTAAATTCAATTGTGTGACAAGTTAATCCTATTTCTCATCTCCCAACTTTTATTTAAGCTTCATTCTTTATGCATTACATGCGAACCTCCGTTTCGAGTGGCATGGCAGTCCATCAATCAGTCAATCAGTCAGTCAGTCAGCCAGTCAGTCAGTCAGTCAGTCAGACTGTCAGTCTGTATGTCTCTCAGTCTGGGGGAGCCAGTCATAGGCTGTCAGAAATGTTTGATACGCCGCTGCCGGCTTCTCCTGTCTGCCTTTTTTGGAGTCCTGGGAATGGGCAGTATCCTTCCCCCCTTGCCAAAAGTGAAAGCGAAGGGTTGCTCTCGTAGCAAATCCCATGGGAGCTGGAAGAGTATGCCCCGCCTTTATCCCGCCCTCGTAGCAACACTTCATTAAACGCATAAAGCAATAAAATGTTTTTGGTGAATGAAACAAGGACCAATGCCATTTCGAAAGGATGCGAAAAAGGCTTCTGCTGCCACATTCTGACAGCTTGACGTTGCCTGTTAATGGCAGAGGCGGCAGGAGCAGCAGCAGGATCAGGTGCAGGAGCAGGAGCTAAAAAGGTCACCCTCTCATGTCCCGGCATCTTTCGATTGATACACTCGGAGTCTGGGGAAGCCTTAAAGGTGCCAGACAGAGCACTTGATTTTTTTTTCGGTGGGAGTGGAAAATCTATACAATTTTTGTATAAAAGATTAACTGCCAATTATCCAGAGGTAAAAGGGAATAAAAGGAATACCCAGAAATGATAATTCTTCAGTCTAGAAAAGGACTTTTGAACGTAAAGTCGTAGTATTTTAAAATCCTAAACTTAAACTGTTTATAAAACCTATAAAATCTAAAAAATCTAGATGTACAGATGTACTTAAAACTAAGTTCCTTAGAAACTGGCTTAAATTTAAAGCCTTTTCCTTAACCAACTTGAGATATTTTGAAAAGGAAGGCAGTTCTCTTAAGGTTTTTGCTATCTAATTAAACCTTAAGCTGTTCTATATGTTTTAAGATAATTCCTAGACCAATTCCTTATAGTAAAACCCTACATTTAGATACTCCCTGGTGTGGTTATAATGAGAAAGTTGCATGACGCCAATTTATGACGTTTTGGGGGTAGCAACTACTACTATGTAGTGGAAGTTCAATCAACTTTCCCGGCAATGGACAGCCATACCGTATGCTTGTCACGCCCCCATTTGGAGAACCCTTAGCCCTCTTTCCCTCTCTCCTGGCTGTAAGCATTATCCATCACATAGCCAGGAGCCAACATCATTCTCATCCATCGGCATCATCGTCATTGTCATCATTGTCATCATTGTCATCATGATTGTCCCTGGGTCGCCATTGTCTGGAATCGGGATGCGAGTATAATGGAGTAGCCGGAGTTGTATCTTTATTACGGTAATTGCTCATTGAACAGGAAATTATTATATGCGTGCTCTCCACGTCCACATCCATTTCTCTCTCTCTCTCTCTCTATATCCCTCTCTCTCTCTCTCTCTCCCTCTCTCGCTATGGGTTTGGAGAGAGACAGGAACCCTGGCCCTGGTAGATGGAATATGCTGCTGCTGATGATGATAATAATAATAATAAGAATAATAATAAATGGCACACGGATAATGCGTCCACAGGTTCATACACACACACATAGACGCAGGCACGCAAATGGAGGCACAAATCGATCATATGTGTGTGGTTTCTCTCTCTCTCGCTCTCTCTTAGTCTTCCGGTATCATTGCCACCATTTCGAGATCCATTTCCGGTATGCAATCACCTTCGCCCATCTGTCCGGTGGCTATCGATGGCTCACGACGATTCCAAACAAACATATTATCACCGGCACCCAATATCATGCCGACTCTTTGGCGGATGAGCAAGTGTCGCAAATGGATCAAGAGCCACCTAACATGATGCAACGATACGAGGAGAGGATGCACTGCGGCCACTGTTCGCATATCCGGTCCCATTGGTGTTTCCGTTTCCGTTGCCGCTGCCGCTGCAGCTGCTGCTGCCACTGTTGCTGCCACTGTTGCTGCCATGGCCGCTCCCGTTGGTATGCCGGCATCCCGGAGACGCTGCCGCAGGCGACGATCGGTTCTCAGTTGATTCAATCGCGACCGGAAGGGAAACATGTCCAGAAGTTGGTGCTCTTCTTCGTTATTTTTTATATATATTTTTTTGTATTATTTTTATTTTGTTTTGGAATTTATGGAAATAAGATCGAATGTGTTGTATGCCGGTTGGGAGATCAAAAGTAAATGAAATTGGTAAAAAGTAGAAGCAAAGGTGACTGTGATTTGGAACTACTAGATTTTAGTTATATTATACTTCAAATTGGAAATTATCTTTAAAAGATTCTAGAGAAAGACTCTACTGGCTTAGCTAGTCCACTGACTTTACACATACTTTGCTTACGCCTGATGCATATTAAATTAAACTTTCACCTCTTCAAAGAGAAGCAGCACCAGCAAAGGCAAGGAATCCTTGACAGGATGGGCGACAGGAGTCCCAAACACTTTGGTTTCTTGCTTCAATCATTTCGTGAACCACCCCACAAAGGGAGTGACAGGTGGCTCCCATGTTGTTCCAGGTCCTGTTTCACTTGCTCCATGCTCCTGCGGCTGGCTGGTAGCTGGGAAGGCCGTAGAAATACTTAAAAGCAACACGACAAGCTTTAATTAAATCAGTTTTAATTAATGCAAAATGCGAAATTTTCAAAAGACGTCGTCGCCCCCAATGGACTCAAATTGCCGACACAACATGGAAAACAGAGAGAGCCAGGAGACAAGGACCTTTAGTAGAGTAGACCATGGCATGGGGACGAGTCTCCGTTTTTGTTTGTCGCATAATTACAACTCAATTGTAATCCAATTTTGGCCAGGGTACCAGATATAAATCCAATTCAGGCCTACACTCACTCTCCCTCACTCTCTGGTGTCTGTGTCAACTTTTTGGTGTCAAATAAATAAACTTTTGACAGTCGGCAGACAGGCCAGCGGGGGTTCCCCACATTCGCCACAGACTCCTCCTTTTTTGTGCACACCGGAAAATGTAAATTAGTGAAAGCCCTGACATTTTCCGAGGATCTGTACTTCCTGAAATCAATGTTCGTCCCCCCCTTTGGATGGGAAAACTCGGACTGAGACTGAGAGAGCTCCGCTTGATAACTGCAAATTAGTTGCACATGTTCCACATGGGCCACAACTCAAAACAAGACGTGTTTGCACTAATTTGGCCAAAATCAACAGCTGTGTGTACATGTGCTGCTCCCTAGGCTCCTTGCTGTGTGTCTAAGTGTGTGTGTGGGCGAAGAAAACTCATCATAACTTTCTTATCAAAAACTTATTTCTTGGCTCTCCTCTCAGATGATACCCAACAGCAGCGGCCGAACCAAAATATAAGAAAAAGAAATAAAAAAAAGAGAGAAAAGAAAAAGAAAAAGGAAAACGAGGAGAAAAATGAAACGAACAAAATTTTTGGGGCGCAAAAACGACAAGGAAAACAGAAAAATTGCCTAGAAAACTTGTTATAATTACACACTAGGCAGGCAGGCAGGCACGTGAGTGTGTGTGGAAAAAGTTTATACACTCGGAGAAATACAAGAAAATAAATACAATTACTTTGCTTAGTTACTTTGCCTATTTATGCTTTATCCAAAACCTTAAATTAAACAATGCTTAGTGCAGATAACAGACAACATGTTGCATGAAACATGTTGAGCAGCATTCAAACAAAGGCAAGTGTTGCTAGAACATGTTGCAACAAATATGAGAGTATTAAAAATAAGATAAACAACAAGGAACAAGTTGTAAAGCTATAGTGACTATTAAATACCCGGTATCTAAAGCAATTTGCTTAGGTTCATTGTCTAATTATGCTAAAATTGGTCAATAAACTTTAATTAAACAATGCTTAGCGCAGATAGCAGACAACATGTTGCAAGAAACATGTTAAGCAGCATCCAAATAAAGACAAATGCTGTTAGGAACATGTTGTAAGGAATATAAAAGGTATACAAGTTAAGAAGGAGCAAACTTACTTATTTCAAAGAAAAACTTAAACTTAAATGGCTCATAAAAATATTCTGAATTAATACAGAACTTAAAAAAATGTATAAATAAATCAATAGTTTTGTTTTCAGTGCATAACTAAGACACTGACTAACTGCAAGGGGCAAGAACTTGGTAGTGGAGTAGTTGGAAGGCATGCATGGAGAGCAGGCAACATATGTTGGACTTTGGCGCAAACTTTTGGCGAGTTTTCGGGGGGGACACATCCTCATCTTTATACCCATCCTCAGTGTCTCATCCCCCATCTCTATTCTCCATCCACATCCCTATCTACACCCCCCATACTCCATCTACATCCACATCCACATCCACATCCTCATCGACGAGGATTCCCCGAGTGGAACGTGTGCGTTTTGTGGTTGAGTAAACGCACAGTTTAGGCTCAGAATGCAACAGCTGTGACCCCCTCTTCAAACTCCATGTTGGAGTTATGCCGTCTGCTTGCGATCCGTGACAACTTCCTTCACTAATCTCCCCCTCCCGATGAGTCACGACCAGGATAATTGTTATGCCAAAAGCTAGGCTTAGGTTTAAAACTATAGCTTTGTGGAGGTCACAACAGGTTGTCGTGAAATTTAGTTAATATGATTGTAAAAACTATTTTAGTAGAAGGTTTATAGGTAAAAGGAAGAAACTTTAATGATTAAATTATTTATAATTTGATTTCATTTAAAATGATATTTGTATTTCCTTAGACAATCTTTGAACTAGCAATTTGACTTGCAAATAAGTTAAGGTACATAAGTATATGCAAATGGTGTCTTTTTAAATTATTATTCAGGCTAAAACTAAAGGGATTATGTTCTTAGATAATACCAGAGTATAATTTAAACTATTTTTCGTTATAATTGATTCTATACTAATTAAATTTTTAACAGGAAATCAGAATATATATGACTTTTGGCAATCACTAGCTTTTCCCCATGATAAGCTCTTCAAAATAGTTGCAATATTTCCTTTTTAAGGCTTTAAATCAATATTTATCGATACTTTTAATTGATCATTTTTCGATTTATTGAAGCTTTAAAAAACAGCATAACTCAGTCAATAATGGTTTAATTTTAATTTAGAAAGCTGTCCTGTGTTAGTTTTTTAAAGGTTTATAAATCTGCCTACTAATCTTAGCATTTTAAAATTTTTTAATTTTTATCAATTTTTTGTTGAAAATTTTAACAATATAATCCCTAATAAATATCGAAAATTTTTAAAAATTAGTTTTTCTGTCAAAGATAGCTAGATCGATCAGGATTTTTATGCTGATCGAGAATATATATACTTTATAGGGTCGGAAATGATTCCTTCACATTGTTGGAAGCTTCTGACTATACTTGGAATACCTGGCAGAGGGTATAAATATATATATGTACATTACATGTATATAAAAATATATGGAAAGTCGGTAAACAATCAAAAACCCCAGCCACATGATGCCAAAATTTGTTTCTTTTATTCTTATTTTTTTGCAAAAATAAAAAACTGCAGAGAAAGCTAAGGGAATTGTTAACGAAGGTTACCAGGCGGCGAGGACAAAAAACGGATAAATACTACCGAAAAGTGTAAGGGACCAAACTTTTGGGCCAACTTTTTGCCAGCAAAAAAAAAAGAAGGAAGGAAGTAAAGGACCAAAGAACCAAACTGTTGGAAAATGCCTAAAAATCGTTTGGGCCAACAACCAAAATAAATATGCCAATGAAATGGGTTTTCGGGAACCAAGGGTTTGAGCAACAGTCCAAGGAGCGGGATCGGAAGGAACTGGAGAGTGAAAAGAAGCAGGACCTGGAGCTGGAGCTGAGGCTGGAGCAGACGGAGCCATGTGCTCGCATATGCGGGACACGTACTTGCGCTATAATTATTTCGTACGTGAGCACGTGAGCCGCCGGGAAAGACAATGCTCCCAAGTCCAGGCCATAGAAAAGGGGGATCACCTCGACTCGCCTTGGAGCAGCAGCAAACCAGAGTAGAGTGACGTCTAGCCGGAAAAAGAAGAAGACATTGTGAATGGCGCCGCCAAGCTTAGCATAACCGCACATCAGAGATGCCCAAGAATTCTATACTCCGAAAGATATATGTATGTAACAATTGGCTTTATATACTTGTAACATGAACTCTTGTTGTGGGATCATCATCTTCACTTAATTAGCAGATCCACGATCAGGAATAAAATCAGCAAGTAGACAAGCAGAATGAAAATTGATCCCAGTGGATTGTTGATATTGATATTGATATTCATCGCAAACTTGTAGCTCATTGATATGCAGCCAGATCAGCAGAACCAAGAAATGGTAGCGTAGGTAACATCCATTTATGAATAGACCAATTAGCAGCAAAGCACCCATCATATAGATCCATACACCTGACATCATGCAATTTGCATCACAGTCACTAAAGTCAGGGCAAAGTTTCACCAGAATATTGGGAGCAACAGTGATGGTTGAAATAATGTCGGCTATCAACAGTTCCTTTATGAAATTATGTAAATTTGCCATTATATCTTTTTATTTTGAATGAAAATTTAGGAATTGATGAAAATATTATTTTGGAAAAAGAGAGCTGACGACGAGCTTCAAAGTGATTTGGAATTTTTGAAAAATACTGTTTCCCTTAGGGTTCCAAGTGCGGAAGTAAATTTCAGGGATTACTTGTTACTAGATTTTTAGATGCTTTAATAGGGTTTTTACAATATTCGAACTTTTAGAGCTCTTTAACAAAGCCTTAGACTTCTTATTTTTTTACCTTAATGTTTGTTTTTTCATCCTAAAAAAAAATGTATATAACCCTTCTTTGTTTTATTCATTTGATATAGTCTAGCCAATTAAGGAACCCAAAAAGAAAAAAAGGGAAGTGACTTAACAACTCTTATTCAGGACATCATTAGCACCGCAATGATCGACCGCATGCCGCTTAATTCACATAAAAGTCACATAAAGTAAATAAGTTTGATTATAAGCCAGAGAAAAGGGCAGAAACAGCAGGGACACAACAAAAACAGAGGGTGTTGTGCCTTAAAACACTGCAAGAAATTTATACAAATACATGGCCTCATATAAAAATCAATTAAGGTTTAAGGTATTAGTTAATATAACATCCAGGGTTCTATACAAGAAACACAGAAAACTTTTCCCTCTATGTTTAATTAAAATATCAAACTTGTTTCTGCTAGATTTAATATTTCACGTATTATCACATAGA